ACATTTTAAAGTACTTTTAAGTGCCTTTGAATTCATTTTTTCACTTATTCAATTTAGAACTGAAACAGTCCTGAAGTGCAATTATTATGCTGTTTTTTTTAAGGGAATACTATAGTTATTAATATTATTATTTATCAGAATGAAAAGTGGACTTTTGTCTCTGTGCAAACATGACCCCAGAAAATGACCAGGACAGCATCTTGAAAATAATGAATTTCTTGTTACTTTTTATAATAATTAAGCAATCTGTTTCCACATTTTAAACCAGTGATTGCTACCTCTGTTTCCAGGTGGTGAAACATTTTGGCATTGTTGGGGAGTGTAACATCCAGTATGCCCTGCACCCTGAGTCTCTGGAGTACTGTATCATTGAGATTAATGCTAGACTGTCCCGTAGTTCTGCTCTGGCCTCTAAAGCCACAGGGTGAGTAGATAAAATCTGTAAAAAAAAGTTAGTTGTTTACAATGTTATCAATAGTTAGTTGTTTACAATGTTATCAATAGATTAGAAAGAAGAACCATAAGAACTTTAGTATGAAGGCTGTAAATAGGACAAGTAATATTGAGAAGAAGTAAGCCAAATGAATTTTGCATTCAGCTTTTCCTTGGCAAATTTTCAGATTGATTTACTTACGTTTAATATAACAGTTACTTCCCTGTTTAGTAAATGTACTTTTGATAGAACCAAGAGTTTTTAAGTCCTATTATTTTATTGAACAGATTTTGATTGACAAATTTTATATTCAGCTATCCCCTGGCATTCATTGCGGCAAAGTTGGCATTGGGGATAGACCTTCCCAGCATTCAAAATGCCACCACAGAGCAGACGACAGCCTGCTTTGAGCCCAGTTTGGACTACATTGTCACCAAGATTCCACGCTGGGATCTGGATAGATTCCACCAGACATCCAAAGAAATTGGCAGCTCCATGAAAAGTGTTGGAGAGGTGTGTGGTACTTTCTTGATTCCAAACACATGCAAAAATTATATATTTTATTTATGTTTTGTTTTATCATGCATTTCTTTACAATATATGTGTATTATATGTTCAGATTTCACTTAAATAGATTTAAATCAGTACTTAATTTTTAATATCTAAGAAAATCTCCTTAAATATTCATATAATATAATGTATTCAAATATTTCAATTATAATCTCATGTAGGTGATGGCAATTGGACGTACATTTGAGGAGAGTCTTCAGAAAGCACTGAGGATGACTCACCCCACTGTACCTGGCTTGACACCAGCACTTCCTGCGGGAAAGAGCTACGCCCCTGATATGGACTTGGAAGCCCTGCTGAAAGTTCCTCATAATTCTCGGATACACTGCATTACTAAGGTATATATATAGTTACATGCTCTGGGTCTGTTTTTGCAAAACATGTTAGCAATTAATGTCATATGTTAAGAACCAGTACCAGTTTCATGAAAGAACTTTAAAAGAACTTTAAATTAATTATAAAAATTTAAGTTTACTTAGACCCAAGATTACTCAGTAGAAATAACTCAATAATAATAAACTTTGAAATGCTGTGCCTGTTTAATAATAAGACAGAAATGAGAAATTTATGTTTTGCACTTATTTAATCCCATGGCGTATGTTGAAGAATCTGCTTTTGCACAGGTTGTCATTGATTTACCTGGGTCTTCACTTTAATAACAGGTAAAAAAGTGTCAAAATTGATGATTTTTTTATATTAATGCCAGGCTTTCCATGAGGGTTACACCGTGGATGATATTCATAAACTGACTGCTATTGACAAGTGGTTCCTGTACAAACTGGACAAGATAGTCCATATGGAAAACACTTTGAAGTCCTACAAGGGGTAAGATAGTCCATACGGACAAAATAAGTGAGAAAAAAAAACTAGTGGGTTTATTCAGAAGACGGAGGGGTTTCACACAAGATCTGTAGTAAAAAATTGTATTAAAATTGCTTTAAAACATAAACACATCATATTTGATGTCAGTGGCTATAGATTTTTATGTCTTAGATATCCTAAAACTGAAAGTAACTCCAATTAAGATTAATAAGTTGAATGAAGCTACAAAAATTGTTTGTATTGATCCTAGGATACCTAAATGGTAAACATCTCAAGAAGTAATTTATTTCTTAAGTTTCTGTGCCAATAGATTATCACTATGCTTATGATTTTACCAACTCATACAGAAGTGCTACTATAATCAACAATTGACATACATTGTAACTATCCCAGAAATATATGTTTAAAATTGTATAAACATATATTGTCTCACCTGAATATCTTAACACCTGCAATAATTTATCCAGGCATATTCTTTGTTAATATTGCATCTCTCTCTTTACTCTCCTCCCACAGAGCTCTGACTGTCCCCACCCACCTCCTAGCACAGGCCAAACAGGATGGGTTTGCTGACCGTCAAATTGGGCAGGCACTCGGGATCACTGAATCAGAGGCCAGAGATATGAGACTTAGTAAAAACATCAGACCATGGGTCAAGCAGGTCAGTATGATATATATATATATAATGAACCATGTTTCATTATTATACATTACACTCAAACTGTATATATTAAAAGTTACATTTAGATTGGTAAACTGCAAAAAGGCACAGAATGAAGACCTGACTATATTAAGAGTGTAAATAGTAAAAGTCAATGTCTAAAGCATATACAGATATTTAAAATGTGTCTAAAATAAAGCGTCAGACTCTGTTTTGCAGATTGACACAATGGCAGCCGAGTATCCTGCCCGCACCAACTATCTCTATGTGTCCTACAATGGCATGGTGAGTAATCTTTAAACTTAAATAATGAAAATGTCCTAAGTGTGCTTGACAGAATGTAGTTCCTGTAAAACCAGGCTCTCCAAATGATGTCTGGAGCTTGCTAGCTAAACCCTTAAGGGGTACATGTAACTATACTCAAAATGGCTTCAGAAGATGCTTTTTTCTTAAAGCCTTTTAAGTGATCATTTCATTTTGATGGAATGAAAGAATAGATACAGTTTAAATGTATTCATCGTGTAGGAGCATGATCTTACCTTCAATGATAACGGAATAACAGTCCTGGGCTGCTAGTTTGATTAAAGCCTTTTAAGTGATCATTTCATTTTGATGGAATGAAAGACTAGATACAGTTTAAATGTTTTCATGTTGTAGGAGCATGATCTTACCTTCAATGATAACGGAATAACAGTGCTGGGCTGTGGACCCTATCACATTGGCAGCAGTGTGGAGTTCGACTGGTGTGCAGTCTCTTGTATCAGATCACTCAGAGACATGGGGAAGAAGACGGTAATTGCTCCATGAAGACTAATGTGGTCTTCTCTATCATTTACTAGCTTGAAAATTGGCACAGTTGCACAAAAATATGATCAATTTAATTAGTTGTGTTGAATTGTAATGTTCATAGTTCAACCATTTTTCTGGATAAGATTTTTTATCTTTCCGATAATTTTTTATCTTTGTATTTATTAAGACATATTCAATAAAAATAATTATATGTTGGTTGATATGCCTTAAAACGTCTTTAAAAAATAAAATGATTATGACATAATAAACTGGTAATATTGTGCAATAGGTTGTCCTTTAGCAGATCTGAAGCTCAACAAAAGTAAATATCTGTTTACAACTTTTATCTTACTCAATGATTAGATTTGCCCTTTTAAAGCTTTATATTTTGTTACAAATTTGGTTATTTTGTCTCTTCAGATTGTTATCAACCACAACCCAGAGACTGTGAGTACTGATTTTGATGAATGTGACCGCCTGTACTTTGAGGAGCTTTCTTTGGAGAGAGTGCTGGATATATACCAACAAGAGGTGATTACTCAATTTGACATCAAATTTATTTAATGTAATTGACCATCTTTTTGTTTGAAATTATTATTATTATTATTTATTCATTTGTTTTTTACAGAAAATATCTTTAATGATGCAATTATATTGAAGCCAATGAGTTCACTTTTTACTAACAAATCCAAGTTTTGTAGAAAAGTGCTGAGGAACAATTTTCCTCTTTTTTGAATATTGAATATCTCTTATTCATCTTTATAAATCATTTAGCATATGTTATTAAAAGAAACGTGATAGACACCTTTATAAGTAAAAATGAATTTATTTGTAGATTACTAATCCCACTGTTTTTTAAACAGGTTTCCAAGGGAATAGTTGTCTCAGTTGGAGGCCAGATTCCAAATAACTTGGCCCTGCCTCTGTATAAGAATGGTGTGAACATTTTTGGCACTAACCCCACTATGATTGATGCTGCTGAGGAGAGATCAGTGTTTTCAGCCATTTTGGACAAGATAGGTGTTGGACAGGCTCCTTGGAAGGCACTAACTTCATTGGTAATACCTCTAAAAATAATATTATTTCCAGTGTAACTGTGTTTTTTAAATTTTACCATGCTACTGCTGTAGTTTCATTTTATGCTTTGAACTTATTTCAGTCTCATTGTTTCTTTTAATATAATTGGATTTTTGAGATCTTAAGCTGACAAAATACATATTACATGTAACAGATGTATCTAATCATGGAAACGAAAAATGAACTTAAAACAGCAGTAATGGTGCTGTAGATCTTTTGGGGTGGAGTGTGAAATTGGAGGTGACATGGATGTAAATACAGGTGAATATTTTTTAAACCTGTTTAGGATGAAGCCCTGGACTTTGCTGCAAGTGTTGGCTACCCATGTCTGCTTCGACCGTCCTTCGTGCTCAGTGGCTCCGCCATGAATGTTGCCTATGGACCAGTAGAACTCAAGAAGTTCTTGGAGCAAGCGTCTGAGGTCTCACAGGAACACCCGGTGGTCATAACGAAATTTGTTGATGGAGCTCGGGAGATCGAGATGGATGCCGTTGCCAGAAATGGAGTGGTGAGTCTTTTGTCATTTAGATATGATTTTAAAAATTGAAGGCAGTATCATTTCTTTTGACCAATGCAATTTAGAACACTTCATATCAGTCCAGATGAGTAACTTGAATATTGTCATGGCTTGCATGGTATATGTTATATATACATATTGTATAATAATATCTGATTGGTCAAATATTTAATTAAAAAACACACCTACTGATACATGAGCAGTTTTTAATTTATTTTTATTTATTTTATTATTATTTTATTATTATATTTTTTAGTATTGTTGGAATTTTCTTTGATTCAGAGGGATTGTTTATTAGGTTAATTTTGGTATCACAAACCATAATTATTCACTTCCTTCATGGCTACATGATACTATTCTGTTGACTATTCCTTCTGGTCATCATCATCATCATCATTATTATTATTATCATTATTATTATTATTATTATTATCATCAGGTTGTTGCCCATGCTATCTCAGAACATGTGGAGAATGCTGGTGTTCACAGTGGAGATGCCACCCTCATCCTGCCATCACAGACCATCAGCCAGCACTGCCTGGACTTGGTGAGATATTATACTTTGTATATATATGTATACTTTCCATTGTATACTTGTGAATTGAATATTTAAGTAGTTTATGTTTGTGTTAAACTATGCACACTGTCAGTGTGCTGTTTGGGCTTATCAACTGTTGTTTTCAGTTATTGTATCTTTATGTTGTATTGTATACAGTTGTGTATGATAAGTTTTATTGATGACGATATGTAATGTAAATGTTAATTTTATAGAAATAAAACAGTATTTTGTTCATTTTCTTTTGAAACACAAGGAACGTTAATACACCATACCACACAGTACTGCACAATACCACGTGGCGCCATACCAACACTAAAACGTTTGAGGTTTATCTTTTAAATAATTAATGTACATCTTCCTTGTTTTAAACTTGCTGATGGTTTTTGTTTAGATCAAGGATGCCACCAGGAAGATAGCTAAGGAGTTTAACATCTCGGGACCCTGTAACATCCAGTTCTTAGCCAAGGATGACCAGGTCATGGTAAGAATTTCTCACGACCATATTTCTGATCACATTTGAGGATTTGTTTTCAGTTAGAAAATTAGTCATTTGGTGTACAACAGGTGTGTACTGATAAGTTATGGTCACAGAACCTTTTTAAGATTAAAGCACTGCTAGGTGAAAACTTGGCTCCTGAACTTTGAACAAACTGTATGGTATTGAAATTTTTTTTCTGAGAACATTCTAATTTATATATATATTTTTTTACTTCATAAATGAACTTTTTTTAATTGATGTGAAATGTTAGATATATGATTGCCTTAACATGTTTTTAGAATGGTTCTTGATGTCTGGATGGTTTTATATTAATATGGAACTCTAAGATGCAGTGACTTTAGTGTAGTGTGACTTTTTAAGAAATGAATTATGATATGCTTTTTTCACTTAAAAAAAATCTGGAGACATACTTTGCAATTGTTTTTGAGACCCACAAAATTTTGCATATGTTTAAGGAATCCCTGCTTTTCTGTGGGCACTGATTTCCCTGATTTTACCAATTACTGCTTTTCAGGTCATTGAATGCAATCTGAGAGCCTCGCGCTCTTTCCCATTCATCTCCAAAACCATCGGCACAGACCTGATCTCCGTGGCAACGAAGGTTATGCTGCATGAACACATTGACATTGAGGACATGCCGACCCTGGAAACTCCCCATAATCCTGTGGGATACGTGGGAATAAAGGTACTTACTTTGATGGGATGTATGTGTGTGTGCATGTGATGAGAGAAAGGTCAGGGGGTTTGAAAAGGTCTTAACAGTGTGTGTACAAAAACCTATGAAAGAAAAGTTGAGGCATTTATCTTTAGTTATTGATGCGGCTGTATATTAAGGCTTATAACTTATAATGACATGAATTTTAAAGATGAGCATTCATATATATTTCACTTTTGGCTTTCTTATCACAGAATATAAGTGCTTCAGTGTTATCACTCTTATGAATTGTTCTTTTGTTGTTTACTTTAAATAGTTTATTATTATCATAATTGCCTATTCCAGCCATTGTTGTGTGTTTGGGTCTAATGTGGAAAAAAGCAACAATTCAAGTAATAATTCTGTGAACATATTTCATTGAACAGTTGTCATGAGGAACTCAGCTGAGATAAATATACTCACTTTTGGAAATATTTCCAGGCTCCCATGTTTTCCTGGCCCAGACTGAGAGACGCAGACCCATTGCTGAGATGTGAAATGGCATCCACGGGAGAGGTGAGTGTGAGGATGATGGGTCTAGCTGGTCTGCCCCTTGTACTTTTCACTCATTCTGGACAGCGAGCCTAAGAAAACTATTAGTCCAAATCAAAATAGACTGGCCAGCGACCATATATGTATATAGATAATTGGGAAATAATTTTAAACAACAATTAGTACAATCTCCACCATGCAGTCCAATCATTCTAGTACATCATTCACTGGGTAGTCCAGTATAGTACATCTCCACCCTCGGCTGATAGTTTCTGTAAAATGGATAGTATAGTACATTTAATGTGAAATTTAGTTGATGTAGATCTGTTTTAGAGGACTACTGCAATTTTAGCCTTAACTGAAGTTCTTTTGTGAAATTGACCCCAAAGCTTCAGCGTAAGTCCTGATGAGGAGGTACTTTACTTATAGTCATTGCAATTATATCTGTTGATAAAAATTGATAAAAATTGAAAGTCTAAAAAATATATATTTGAAAACAACATACATAATCATGTCTTAAACCTGTTTTGAAAGGTGGCATGTTTTGGACCCGATGTATATACTGCATTCCTGAAGGCTCTGATGTCTGCCGGATTCAGAATACCCAAGAAGAATGGCAGTGTGTTAATTGGTATCCAGCAGTCCTTCCAGCCCAAGTTTCTACCAACAGCCAAGAAACTGTCTGATTTAGGCTACCAGGTAAGGAGGGTGGTTGGTGAGATATATAAAAAAAAATTAAATTGTGCACATGAACCTACTTAAAGTGGCACAAGTTACAGAAATCTGATGCTGACCAGCTTCTTCATTTTCAGGTTTCCACATATGATTGTTGATACATGCTCCGTCTTTGTCATGGATATTTGACAATGAGGAAGTTGGGTCAATCAGATCTGAATCTCACACAAAAGTTAGTCAAAATTTTTCAGTTTTTCAGTTAAAAATTTAGTCCAGCTTGGCTCAAGATAAACAATGTTTATTTTTTTATTTTAGTTGTGCGCCACTGAAGGCACAGCAGCATATCTGAACACTCATCACATCCCTGCCCAGGCTGTAGGATGGACTTTGTCTGAAAACAAGGACCAGAGTTTACCCCATGCCACCACGTAAGTCATCATTTTAGGAGGTTCTTTTTTTAGGTTCTTTTTTTCGTATATTTGTTATAACTTGTATATCATTTTAATATTATTTGTATGCATTTTTTTATTGATATAATTGTATCTTTGCACATGTTGTGCATCATACAGATAATAACCTATCTGCTGTATTTGATTGTGAATACCTGAGTACGTATTTGAAAATCTAATACCTGACAATAAAAAATCTGCCATTTGCTTTAAAAATTGATGTTTATATGTATGACTTTTGTATTTATTCTTTAATAAACTTATTTATAACTCTTTGGTATATTTACCTTTATTTATATCAAGTGATTCTTGTCACCATAACTGTGGTGTATTTGGGTACAATAAAGTCTATTATGTGAGTTCATGAAACTATTTTAGCTGAATGCAAAATTGTTTCTTGGTTTAATTTAAGGTTAAATGCACACAAAGACAGATTTTTCTACTTATTTATTTATTTATTTATTTATTTATTTATTTATTTATTATTTTCCAGGTTGATACAGGATCGTAAAGTTGATCTGGTTATTAATCTTCCAAACCACAACACTAAATACGTCAAGGACAACTACTTAATTCGCCGCAGTGCAATTGATTTTGGGGTACCTCTGCTTACTAATTTTGAGGTAAACCCTCTCTCTCTCTCTCTCTCTCTCTCTCTCTCTCTCTCTCGTGCATGTACACACACACACTTTTAAATTTAAATATTGATTTGCTGAAATAAAAATGCTGGGTGTAGATAGATAGTGAAATATGTTACGATACTGAATTTTGTTTTCTTTTCTCTCTCACCCACCCAAAACATGCTGAGAAATTTTCCTCACTTCTCATACTTTTTTCTTTCATTTCAGATTGTCCGCTTATTAGCTGAAGCATTTGACCACACGGGCAATGTGGAAGCCACCAGTTTGTTCCATTATCTGAAACCAAGAAAGAAATCTGCCAGATCTGCATAAATTTTGGACAGTTGTCTCCATTGTTACAGGGACCACATACAGGGGTTCTATGCCTTGTTATTACTGAAAATTATCTATTACATTCTTATAAGCAATTTAAAGGACATTGCTTTTTTATATAAACATTTAATGGTTGACATTGATCTGTCTGCTGCCTCAAGTCATGAGAACTGATTTTAAAGTGCACAATAACTTGAAGAAAGCTGATCGTCGGATATTTCATCTTGTGGAGGGTGGCTAATCTACATCTGCCATGTTGTCCTCATGATCAGCTGTACTCATGCATGTAAGTTACAGTATTAATGCCCTTTAAGTTTTTTTCTTTTATAGAGAATTTGTGGAATGAGGTATGGTTGGTTAGAACTAGATAATCTTTGTTGACTCCCAAAAAAATGTTAAATTTTTTATCTTGAAATCCTGTATGTGATGTCTTAGAGGAATTTCTATAATGCAGATAACTGAAAAATCATTTCAGAAAAGAACATGCAGAAAAAATCAAAAAGATATTTAGGATTACTTGCAACTTTGAATCTCATCCTTCTCATTGCACAAATGAATTCCAAAGTTAATATTTTCAAAGGAAAAATCTTTGTTGCCAAATTATTCCCTTAAGCAAAAACATGAATTTTTTTGTCAGACTTTTTATATTTGCTCTCCATTTTAGGAATGTATAATGATATTATAACCTTTATTTCTGAGATGTTCAATCTCAGTTTTCTTTCTGATGTAATAGGCAGCTCAAATGTTTTCAGTATTGTTTTTTTACATTTGCAATGTATTGAAACGTGGTTTCATTATGTTTTAGACTATTAAAAGTAAAAATCATGATAAAATTCATATTTGCCAGCTATTTTGAATGTATTAATGCAGAAATTGAAAGGTATTTGATATTCATTTTGATGGCAGCAAATCGAATCAAATTTTGTGCTTTGAATTTCCAGAATTTTCTTGTCCATATCATTTAAAGAAAAGATTGTGCAATGTAAGAATGATGGATTAATGTGTAAGATCGATGTCAAATTCAGATATCATTTTGAAGAAAAAAATAGTGTGAAATGTTATATATAGATAGATAGTGGACTAAGTGAGCATATTTTCTCCAGTTTTTCACCTTGTAGTCTTTTGGCCAAGACATGGTTTGATTATTGCTTACTCTAACGGGTACAACATATAATGCATGTACAGGGGTTCTTGCACTAACATAGTATAACGCTGATGTTGTATGCTTGCTATTCAATTTATTGTGTAATAATTAGATCTGCAGTAAAGATGAATCTCAAAAATGTATGATCTAGTACATGAAGTATATACAGTGTTTTGTATATCTTAGACTCTGCATAATGCAAGCACTGGTGGATCTCACAGAAATGGGGCATTTGACTATTTTAAAGTCATCATAGATAACAATTTTTTGCAGAGTTATGGGTAATATTTTTTCTTAAAATATTGCAATTTTATCCATTTAGCATAAATTACATTTGGTTGAAGTTGAAGGTGTAAACTTTCAGTGTAAATGTGTCCTGACACCATGGAAAAGGTTATATTTGCTAATAAATTCTAGTGGGTTTACTTGGCATTTCTCCATTCATTTTGTTATTTCAAATTAAAAAGAAACATTTAATAACCAGTTAATTCTTGTAACTGCATACTTTACATGTGTTATTAGATGACGTTAATATGTTGATGCAGAACTACATAGGCCTACTGTAATTGGTAGCATTGACCGCTCGTCCCAAAACGAGCATTTTTTTTTTCAAAAAAATGTGGATTTTAACCTCTCTCTCTCGCCACAATAATTTGCATCTTTGTAAAAAGACCTACATACGCAGAGAGAGTGAGATAGAGACCTGAAATATGATGTAGAACGCTATATTTTCACGGTTTACCAATCCTTAATTTACACATTTTTTGTAAAAAAGCTTTGAACATGGGTAACTTTTCATTTTTCCTAAATTCTTACTTTAGCCCCGCTAAACCCCAAATTTAGCCCTTTGAAAATAGACGATGTCAACGTTTCTTCAAATTGAACGTATGGCTCTCATCCAGGCAACTAGTAAAATCATGTGTCGCTTTTAGCATTTTAAGAATTTACTTTCATTCATATAACCAAAAATAAGCCAACCTTTTTTTTTTGCAGCGCATTCATAATTCCCAGGATTGATATCTCCTTTTAAGGCAAAAACTCAGTTCCCCTTAACATGAAAAAGTATATTGCCACGTGCGTCTGTATGGCAATTGACCATTAATTCAGCTCACTTTGATATCAAAAGTAACAACGTATTGATCAGTTTGCACGGGATCCCCAAACTGGTAAGATTTTCACTTTGTTGTGACTCAATTTCCCAATTTTAGCAAATCCAGATTTTTTTTCTGAACTCATTAAAACGCTCTGAGGTCCGCGAAGTCAGATCAGGTTTTCAGATGCTAACTTGCTCTTCGCCTAGGTTATATTTTGCGTAGCTGAAATAACTGTGAAATTAATATTTATTTTTCTTATTATTCTTATTTGGGAAATAGGGTAATCAAGACTACTAATATATATTAGTTTGCTGTCTTAAAAATTGATTACTGAAAACTTTGGATATGTTCAACACTTTTTGCTAAGAGTAGGGTTAATATTCCTTTTTTTTATTCAGTCTGAAGATTTTTTTTTGCTCTCAGTGTGATCTGGGATCCGTCCACCCTTTTAAATTCGGCCGGGGAGAGTATCCATGGTGTTCAGTTAATGAACTACACCCTCTACAAGAACATGACCCCAGCGCCGCCTGGTGGAGAGCAGATTACTACGCCTTGGGTGTCATGTTCGAATTATGAGGGAAGGTAAGACGCCCTAGTATACATTTATGTGCATGATTCATAAATTGCAATTCGTGTGAAAAAATCAGTCAGAAAACGTTAGACCAAAAAGACAAAATGAAATGAGAGTCGTTTGAACAGGAAAATCAGAATATAGGGAAAAATATAGGAATATTTCTTTTGCAAGCAAAGTTACGTAAAAATCACAATGGGCTTTCACTCACATTAGTACCGGGCAGTACAGGGTAGTATAATGTTTTGGAGAACATAATGTAATAATTCAAGTCTATTTGTTTAAACACCCACTTTGGACTGAATTGCCAACTAGAGCAGAAACTAGAAGAAAAATTCTCCAAGGCACCATCATCTACACATATAACAGGGACAGATTCAGTATTATTTGAAGGAGGGGTCCGCGGATGCGAAGCCGACGCTCCCCCCCCCCCCCCCCCCCACACACACACACACACACACACACACTTGGCATGGGGTTCGCTAAAGGGCCCCGAAAAATGTTAGTATTTTAGAGGGCGAATGGTGCCATTTGGTACGGTTTAGAAATATGAATCAACTAGTTAAAATTCTAATTTCAAGAGGTGACCAGAAATCGAAGGGGGGGGGGGGTCAGAACCCCCCTTGATCCTCCCTCTAAATCTGCCACTGGATACAGAGCATGTCTTCAGGAATCTGATTGACAGATTAGTCTGGTAGGCAATTCTATATTATGTCTATTACCTTAGTTCATTTGTCTATTTATCTGCCGAAAATGACCTAGGCCCATATTTGCTATGGAGGTGCCACAAGATGAAAATTCTACTTTGGCAATTTTAATATAATATATCAATATGATTGGTTTTGTTCCCATTTTGCTTGTTGTCTTTGTACTTGATGGTGAAGGGGCGAAGGGGGCGTGGTCCACTGCTACCCCCTCCCACACCTGCCAGTGGTATTATTTTTATCAACAAGCAATATTTTTTCTCTCACTTGGCAATCATTGAATCAAACAAATCTATCGGTTTAAAGCAATTTATTATTCTCCTCGTAATATCACAGAATTGGTAACATGAAAATGCAAAAAAATGAACACATTACGAGTATCGCATAGCACTAATAAAAGACAAAATTTTCTAACTAAATATAACTATCTTAAATATATATTTGTAACAATACACCTAATGGCATTAATAGCTGGGTAAATATTACAACGACACGTAAAAATACATTAAAATTGGCAGTGATACGTAGCGCATTTCGGGTAGCAAAATAACCCAAAAATTTCACGGTTATCGTAGAATAGTGGGGCGAAATTTTCAGCAGAATGCGCACCAATCGCATCAAACAACTTTCATGTTTTTTCGCATCTGCTTATGATCTTATGCGCGCGCACATGTGAGAGTTTCGCCTGTGAAGCGCGAGCCATATACAATGGATAGTATATTAACATAGCCGGGAGTGATCGTAGAGTTATAAAGTGAAAAAATTATTTCACATCTTAACGGAGTACATTTGTGGCCCACATTATATGCGTAGCACATATTGTTTATAATAAAATTTTGTTTGATTACAGATACTTTGACAAAGTTATAGATGTAAATAACATTCGTTCAACTTGGTTTTGAACCACTCATAAATATACTTATCTTATATTGGAAACGAATGCTTTTATTCTCTTAAGCACAAGTTTTGCCTTTAAACTGCACGGAAATTACAAATGGCCAAAACCTAATGGCTTATAATCATTTGGCCCTTCTGAGCTACTGGTATATACTATTGATTTGAAAACTTGTATATGTATTATCATTTTGAGTTAAAGGTTATGTTTGTAGCAGAGAACTCTGTCTAGCTCTTATTATTATCAATAAAACCAAGATTATGGTCTGTGTTTGGGGGCTAACAAATTATGTACAGCTTCTTTTTACAAGAAAATGTGTGGATAACCTTGACCTTTGTTGACCTGGGTCGTGACCCTCACTGCTACCACTATCAACTTTTCTCTTTGAGATTAGACGTTCGTTTTTTTTTTACACGACAAGTATCACGCAAGAGACCTTAATACACACTGGAATAGTTGCTAATGCTTGGGGACGAATTAAAAGACCTAATCATTCTGGATTCCCAACTTGACATTTTTTGTTGTGATCTCTACTGTCGCCTGCAAATCAAGTCGCTCCCGTTTGAGAGATTTATGAGAACATCTTTATAGTTTTAGTAGTTCATCTTGTTATAACATTATTGATCGACATCGCCGGAGCCTTCAGCAGGTTTGGCGATGACCTCGGGTCGGCCAGGTGACACTACGACCGGAGGAGGAGGCTCGGATACGTTCAACATACATACTTTACACCTACTAACGCGCGTCAGAAGTTGACCTGCCTTGAGGGTGGCTGAGACTGGGGTCTGCTGACCGGCTATCGTCACCAGCCAGAAGCTGTATTTGTCTGAGAAGAAGTGACACTCTCCACGGCTATTGCACTCTATATACGGGTTCGACCTAAAGGATTCCAGGCAGCTCCCTGGGCTGGATAGTGACTGGCCGCCGCCCATTGCGCCAACAGCGTGCTGAAACAGACAAAGTACGATTGCAGGCAGATTCCTGAACTGAATGTAGGCCTTAACGGAAAAGTAGAAAATGTCTATGTAGAAAACATATTTTATATTAAAAGCCTTCCACATCTAAAAGGCGATTAATGCACCAGTCTACAACATTGAAATAATAGATTTATTAACATGAGAAATATTATACTAACCATAACAAAACTGTACCCGGACCAAAGATTGTTCCACCCGTATGGACATTCGGCCTCTCCAGTGGATTGACTGTGCACAGCCATGACCGGTGCGGGTGCCTGGCACACGGCGCAGCGACTAATGAACGGTAACACCTGGTCGCCGCCCACTGGCATCATGGGTATGGCGCGCTCCGTCGCCAGCCAATAACTAGTCGCCGTTCTGCTGGAGAACGTGCACACGTTGCGGATGTTACAGAACATGAAGGGCATGGCGCTGAATTGTTTGAGACAAGAGCCCGCCGTACCTGGAATACGGCAAAAAGAATGGGTTGGTATTGTTACAGTGCAGGTATAGATGTACAGGTACGAGTATAGTATTCACTTTGTTAATTTGAACTTATTTTTAAATCTTACTTTTGAATCATTTTTCTTCAGGTCATACGTGTAAAAACACCGCCACCATTCTCACTTACCGCGTTGAATTTGTTTATAAAATGGCTTAAGGATTATATATACATGTATCATTGTGACTTGATATTTTAAAAGCGGTCTTTTCATATTTATTTAGTTCATCACCTTTATAAGGTAGCTTACCCAGGTCTTGCACATGCGCACGTCCGTCGTCCTCGGTATGAAGCAAACTGTACCCCTCCCATAGTTTGATGTGACCAATGGGACACTCAGGATACAGAGCGCTCTGACTGTGGCGAGTAATGACGTAAGCAGAGGGCCCGGGAATACCTGAAATACGGCAGTTTGACACACAGATTTAAAGACCAAATAAAAATTTCACTAAGTAAATAATGTCGAAAATAATGTTATTCACAAGTTCTAATGGTTGCATACCTAACTGGTGCACTGGTAGCATTTTCCTTGTCTTACTTCAACTGTATCGGTTTAAATGTAAACACAACTCCCTACAAACAACGCACCTTGTGCTCCACTTGGTCCTTGACGTCCTGGGTTTCCAGCCACTCCAGGGTATCCCTGAAGACCCCTAGGTCCCGCGGGGCCTCTTGGTCCAGGCAGACCCACCCCTGGGTCACCTTTCTGACCCTTCTGTCCGATACCTATTGGACCAGGAGGACCTGGTGCGCCGTCCCTACCTGGTGGACCTTGTGGACCTGTTTTGGACATGGAGAAGACAACAAGCGTAAGGCTATAGTACAGGGAACGATTCATACCACCGAAAGACAGAATGTTCTTTAGTACAAACCTTCGACCAGACTGCAAATAAAAGCCAATCTATTTCGTATTTCTAGTTTAATTCTTACACAGACGTGTCACTATTTTATCAGCATCAAATAATAAAAAGTTAACATCACTACGCACAGATTTAATTACTTTCACTCTGAAATCTTTCTATGGCCGAAAACATTTAGTCAAAATTAGTGCTGTTGTAATAACTGGTATGTGTTTTTTCCATTTGAAACAATTTGTTTCATACCTGCAGGTCCGGTTTCTCCACGTATACTCTCACCAGCTGGACCTTGAGGACCAGGTAAACCATCTGCACCCGGGGGTCCTGGCTCCCCTGCCGGTCCGGGAAGGCCAGGCTCCCCCTGCACACCTGGGCGTCCCAAAGGTCCCGGTTCTCCTTTTGGCCCTGGCAGACCAACTCCCGGTTCACCCTGAGGTCCTGCTGGTCCAGGGACCCCAACACCCGGCTCTCCTTTCGGTCCTGGTAGTCCTACGCCCGGAGGACCGCGTGCTCCTTCTGGTCCCTGAGGTCCTGGGAGCCCAATCAAGCCAGGCTCTCCCGGTGGACCAGGCTCTCCTATCCCTGTGTCACCCTTCTCTCCCTTTGGCCCAGGTTCTCCGACACCTGGCTCTCCTTGAGGCCCTGGAAGTCCGTCCTTTCCTGGAACACCACTCTCACCAGGTGCTCCGGGTTCACCAGCTGGCCCAGGTGGTCCGCTTGGCCCTGGTAACCCAACGCCGGGCTCACCGGGTGGACCCTGGGGTCCGGGTAATCCAACACCCTCAGGACCCGCGGGTCCAGGTTCACCAGCAGGACCAGGCAGCCCATTCAGGCCGTCTTTCCCTGCGGTGCCTGGCTCGCCTGGTTCGCCTTTCATTCCTGCAGGTCCAGGTGCCCCATCTGCTCCTGGTGGTCCACGTTCACCTGGGGCACCTGCCGGACCAGGCTCCCCCTGTAGACCCGGAACGCTCTCACCAGGTGGGCCCTGGGGTCCAGCAGGCCCTGGCTGCCCATCCGCTCCCGCTGGTCCCGGAGGCCCCGGTGGTCCTATTTGGTAAAATTACGGCAAGTGATGTTTCAAAATATATTCGTATATCATGCGAAAGAAAATTAACAATAGTTGGTAAACTCAACGTGACAGCGTGTTACAATTTTCATACTTGTAAGATTAGGTGGTGCTAGCATGATTTTAAAATAGCACTTTAAAAATCACTTTAAAAATCCAACTCCTACCAGGATAAGATCAATGTCGAGAAGATGTTATGATCATACCTGTCACAGACTCCCCTGGTTGTCCTGCTGGCCCGGGTGCTCCAGGTTCTCCAGGCTGTCCAATCTCTCCTTGTGGTCCTGGAAGCCCGTCTTTTCCTGGAGGCCCAGCTGGCCCAGGGAGTCCTTGTTCTCCTGGGGTACCAACTCCGGGTGGACCTTGTGGTCCCGGTGCACCAGGTTCTCCCGCCGGCCCCGGGAGTCCTTCCCCTGTGTCGCCTTTCTCACCTGGCGGTCCTGCCGGCCCTGGTTCTCCTGTCGGACCTGCTGGACCTGGCTCTCCGGGTTGCCCTATTTCTCCTTGAGGTCCAGGTGCACCATCCTTGCCCGGGGGTCCCGGTGGGCCATCCTTTCCAACACCTGGCTCACCGGGCTCTCCTTGCGGACCCGGTGGACCAATAGGACCGGGTAGGCCCTCGCCCGGTGAACCTGGCGGGCCGACTTCCCCTGGTTTCCCTGGATCCGCTTTTGGTCCTGGCTCCCCTGTTGGTCCGGGTGGTCCTTGTGGCCCTGGTGGACCTGGTACGCCATCTTTTCCCGGAAGACCAATTGGACCTTGTTCTCCTGGTGTACCCGGCACTCCAACGCCTGGAAAGGAAGACATCACATATACCAGAGAATAACAACAAACAAACGTGCACGATTAAGTAAAAAACAAACAATATATTTAATACAGTGCACAAAATAAACATATAAATAAACAAGAAGATAGAGATGATACACCGCTTTCTGAGTATGTAACACAAGCTGGAAGAAGAGAGATAAGGAAACCCATAAATAACTAAAAGGTGTCTATTATGGCTAGCACATCCGTAAAACTGTACTCATTGACCGGTAACTCAGGCAGCACATGGGAAATTCCTAAATACAACCCCTAAACCATCCACTGTAAAAACGAAGTAATTACATGTACATCCTGTGTCATGCGTGTCATTCCTTAAACCCTACATGTAAGTAATTGTCATAATACATGCATAAATGCATAAGGCTGCTGAACTTAATAATAATAGCAGTAACAAAAGTTTAAAAAAATAAATAAGATAAATTACACTACTAACCAGGCTCTCCTTGTGGTCCGGGAGGTCCCTCAGGACCTGCAGGCCCTGGTAATCCGTCAAGGCCCCTATCACCTGGCTCACCCGGCTTACCGGGGGCACCGTCCTTGCCTGCCTCGCCCGGTTGGCCAACCTGCCCTGGAGGCCCGGCAGGGCCTGTGTAGGAAAAATACGGAGTGATAATTTGATTTGGTAGATATGCATGTATCACGTGTAATTGGAACTCAAGATAACATCAGTAAAATTACACTTTTTAAAATCAATTTAGTGTTTTAGGATTTACATTAGAAATCACCGAAGATAAAAACGCCAAACTGTTAGTTGACCATAAGTTCTGTAAAGTGAAAGTGTAAAAACTACATTATTTTCTTAAGGTTGATTTCATTGTCCAATCACGCCATAGTGACCTGGTTCCCCCGGTTCTCCCGCAGGGCCCGGTGGGCCTTGGAGTCCCGCTGGCCCAGGGAGGCCCACGCCTGGCTCTCCCTTTGGCCCAGGCTTCCCGTCAACCACTTTAGCCTCTCCAGGTTCTCCGCGATCACCCTTTGGTCCTGGCAGACCCACCCCCGGGTCACCCTTCGGTCCTGCTGGTCCCCTCTCTCCAACACCTATAACAATTGAAATCTGTATTATTAGCTATACGGATAAAATTTTGGACGAGCGCGGTTGTTTGGGGGGATTTTGAAATTTATAACCATCATTGCAAAGACTGATTAATGCCATTGTCTTGTTGCGGATATATTTTCCTTAATACATGTAGTTATTTTCATGTAACGACAGATGGAAACAAACAGATACACGCCAAACCAGACAATGTATGTTTCTTTACATGCATCGTTAAAACAGTTAAACTGCACGGCGTAATTCAGAATATGAACTTTAAAAATCATCGGCAAGATATGAATGTCTAAAGAAATGATAAAATTAAGAAATCATATTAAAACAGCGTGGCATACCTGGCGGACCCTGTGGCCCGGCTGGCCCTTGTGGTCCTGGTTCTCCGCTTGGCCCGGCTGGTCCTGGTTCTCCTGGGAGCCCCACACCCGCAGGGCCCTCTGGTCCTGGAGGGCCTGGTGGACCGGGCTCTCCTACGCCGGGTAACCCGGGTTCACCTCTAGGCCCTTAAAATGCATTTCATAAAAATTTATTTTACGATACATTTATTCATTTTCAACAAACAGAAATCAGTTTTTATAACGAGGCAAAACTACTTAAGTTGTTGAAATACAAGAGGTTACCAACTTATGTCTATATGATAATATAGTTTATTAATTGACACGTCTTTTTACCTGGAACGGTTGATGGTTCGCCGGGTTCACCCTTTTCACCTTTCTCACCGACCCCTGGTTCTCCCTGTGGCCCCTGTGCTCCTGGCTCCCCGGGCAAACCTTGTACCCCGGGCAACCCCCTCTCACCAGGAGGGCCATCAGCACCCGGAAGCCCCTGTGGGCCGGGTGGGCCATCTGCTCCGGCAGGCCCCGCTGGACCTGGCTCCCCCACCCCAGGAGGGCCGGCCTCTCCCGGTTGACCCGCTGGACCCTCTGGACCAGGTTCCCCTGAAGCAAAAAATGGGGAATTACTATAAGCATGGTTAATAACTTTGGTCTGATATCTCTTTACAGTGAACAACTGAAGCAACTGAAAAACTGAAAAGGATTTCATCCTTCTGTGAGGTAAATCTAATAAGCGAAACAGCATTCCACCTTTTCTGTTTTGACTTCACAGACTTGGAATGGTTCGTGAAATATGTGTAACACTCGTATCATATGTTATTTTCTTATGACGAAAAAACCATTTAAATTACATAGATATCAAACTACGTACCCGCTGTACCCCTACAACCTGACCACAAGGTACGCTAGCAGTCTAGTATTGAATGCTTTATTATTTTTTTTTTTTTACTATTTTAGAGGCCCCTGATATCAGAGGGATTTGTATCCCCTCCTCTGGATCCGCCATTGCTCACCTGAACTGGATGTCTGACAACCTTCATAAACGTAGTATACACCAACCTTTCATCCCAGGTTCTCCTTGAGGTCCGGGTATCCCTGGTTCTCCCGGTAAGCCTGTTTGTCCAGGGGGCCCGGGTTCGCCCACGCCTGGAGGGCCCTGGGGACCGGGGGCACCTTCAGGACCGGGGGGTCCAGGAAGCCCTATTTTCCCTTGCTTTCCTCGGCTACCAGGTATTCCCTAGTATAGAAACCAAATTTAGCATATAATTCTATACTCTTTTTTTTTTTTTTTGTTTTACCAAAATCTTAATTTCGGTGCATTTAATTTTTTAAAGTATATAATAGAAACACTTACCGGTTCTCCTTTCATACCAGGTTGGCCAAACCCAGGAATACCGATGGGACCTGAAAAATAGCAATCAGGAATTTATAAATCATTTCAACGTAAAGAAAATGAACGTATCGTGCAGCAACACATTTTTCAAGAATGGAAAGGATAGAAAACACGTATGGTTATGAAACAGACAATGCACGCACACACAGGCAGAGAGCGAGAGAGAGAGAGAGAGAGACGTTAACGTGCCTGCCAAATCAGCATCACTAAGTTTTAAACAAGGACCTGGCACCAGTTTCACAATTGACCGATATTTTGTCGTAACTTAAAGATCAAATCTAAGTCTAATCAGGAGTTGGGTTGATCTACTTAGACCAATGTTGCATATGGGAATGGGGCCTATTTTTTTTAGGTGGAACCAGCCTTTAAAGTAGTATATATATCTACGGGTTATTTACCAGCGTCTCCTTTCTCTCCCTTGTCTCCACGTTCTCCCTTCATCCCTGGCTCTCCGATTGGGCCGAGGGGTCCGATGGGTCCGGGGGGTCCTGGCAATCCGTCCATTCCCTTGTCTCCCTTCTCCCCTCTACCGCCCTAGATAATGAAAACGGGCATAAGGTTACAAGGTTCTTAAAAGTGGCCAGCGCTTCACTTTCCAGTATTGTCATAAAGGTAAGTAAAGATCCAGTTGTACATACCTTTACCGTTTTGTTGACAATTTCCTTGATAAAAACTGTCATGTTGTACCTGCTTTCGGAAGAATTGAAATCTCCTGGGGGGCCTCGGATACCAGGTTCACCCTAAAATACATTCAAAACATTCTTTTAAGTATTGAAGTTTTTAAAAAAGTGGAAGCAAATATTTATTTATCATTTATTTCGTTCGTTCTTTTTCTTTATCTTGTTATTTTTACAAATATGTATAATGTTTGAAATCCCTATGTCCTCCTTTGCCTACCACTGGTTTAATAAAAAGAAAAGTAGTTTATGGTAGCGGTGGGTCGTGACTAATGTACACTGACATACATAAAAACCAACTTCTCTTTTTTCAGCCCGTTTTGTTTATGCTTTTTAACTTCGATAATGTTTATATAATTTATATACTACACTCTTATTTTACATTATATGACAAAAATGCTCACCCTTGCGCCAGGCAAACCCTGAAAGACATAATAAATCATTTAACGTCACAATATCAATAAATATACATGAAGATGCTACATGTGACGAAGGCACGTACGGTGAACCTGCACTACGTTAGCTTAGCTTATATACATGTATTTTTATTCTGATTTGCATACGATCACTTACCACAAGGGTCGCCTCCACCCGGTCCATACGGAGATGCTCTACGGTTAAATTTAAACTATACAAGTTCGAAGGATAACTCTGCACAACGGCATGGGTTCAACTTTCACTTTCACTTTTGCAGGAATGCACCATCATCGATTGCTTTTTGATACTTTGTATCATTCACGGCAAGTGCCTACATGCACGGAAATTTTGCATATATTGAAGAAACTCGTGAACAAAATATTGTTATGTTTATAAAAACAATTTTTACAAAACAAAGATTTGGAGTTCACACACCGTTTTTTTAAACTCGATCAATCGTGTCCTTCTTTTCACATATAAATGCTAAAAACGACTTCCATTTATAGCCCGGCGCAGGCTACTTTAAAAACCTAAATGATATTGTATTTCAAAACATATAAAAATATGTAGATTTTGAATGGAGCATCAGTGTATGGAGATATATGTGGAGTGCTACCCCAGGTGACTTACGCGCCTGCCCCTCCTGCCGACATGCCCACGATTGCCAGACGCCTGAAAAGCGAGCAGAGTGTCTCATGTGGTGGTGTGGTCACCTCTGGGATGCAAAGCAGGTTTGGGTTCGTACAGTTTGTCTCGCTCATAGAATGACGGAGCGCTTTTTTTATTCATTTGTATAGATTTTTCTCTTCGCATGTTTCATTCGGCCAAGACAGGTACAAATGTTGAAAAACATACATATCCTGCATGTATCAGCAGAGTCCAACGGACCCCATAGGCATGTGCTGTTTTAACAAACTGAAACGACTATGCCTGGTAATTTCGGTTGCTTGCGCCCATAACAAACGTCCTTGCGGGTCTAGTAAGAGTCATTCACTCATGTAATCATAATAAGGGTAGGCCGTGAGACGCAAACGGGCGTATTATATCAACTTTTGAAATAACATTTTTAGTACCATGTTCGTCTTCTTTTTTTTTTTTTCTTTTTCTTTCTTTTTTTTTATGCTGTCAGCAAATTTACAAAGTAAACGTGAGTCAGCAGCACATAAACAAAATTAGGAGAAATATGAAATAAACTTTTAAACTTCCTGGAAACATCTGAATGATCAAGAAGTCAGTCTGGTTTCCGGAGCTTTGAAAGCACTCAGTTTAGAAATGAGACAAACTGTAGTAAGGGTGTTCGCATGCGTGCGGAGAACGGAAAGCGGGTGCAGGTTTCGAAACCAAAATCGGCAGTTTCAGTGCAGAAAGATAAAACTCGGTGCATCTGTACTCGGCGCTAGGCAGGTACGTTATTGGAAGGAGGGGAGGCTCTGAAGCTGGAATGCGTACCGTAATACCGATAGATGGCGCAGGAGTGCACTAAGAAAGGAGTCCATAAGTTCGCTCGTTCACTGCGTTCGTCACACACAGAAATACTAAGTAGTGATATATGCTATGACACCAAATTAGGTGAAAGTAATAGAAAGACACACTTGGCGAAGAGAACAGCTGAAAGTTGAGGATGAAGCAATAATGTAACCTCACTAAAGCAAAAAACGCAAGCGGTCGACAGCCATAAAAAGATCAACTTTAAACTCAAAACATCGCTTATGCCATGCACTCTAGTAGTTACAGGGCGTGTGATAATTTTGTACGTCTGTGGCTACTAAGCAAAAACTCCACAAACTATGCGTGTAACATCTGCATCGTTAATTACAATACTAAGCAAATTTGACAATTAAATTAAAAAGGCACTAACAACTTTGGGTCAAACCTTTAACCATTCATAAGAAAGACGACATTTATGATACCGCTGTCGTGCCTGAATATAGGGTTGTAGCAATTGGGTGTTTAACGCAAAATGCCACACACAGAAGAAGTGAGTTAGATTGTGTAAACTGTTTTCTGTATTTACAAATATAAAAGCGAATCTTTTTCTATTATTACATGTACCCCCATGTAAGGTCAATTTGTGTACACGAATTAACTGTACACAGATTTGCTTTTTACCGAATAAATGCAATGCATCCTTTTTTTAAACTGAAACCACAACCCTTTTCGTTCCTATTACGTCTACGCGCCACGTGCAATAGCTCAAATGTTACTAATAGATCATCATAAAATTGCACCATAGTCCATTTATAGTTTTATTCTTCTAAATAATATAAAAAATAGCACTAATCGAAAAAAGGACATAAAAAGCGAATCAGAGTGTACACTTTCAAAACATTTAAAAGACTACTTTTCCCTAAGGCAACTATAGTTCTGAACCAAAGATCGCACATTTTTTATAACTTAAGGTCGACTTTACCTGTTCTAAAGGGTGTGTTCACTATGGAACTATCGTATAAGGTAGTTCGAACTAGCTCCGCGGGGACTCTCGCTGTATGTAATCAGAATAACAAACTAACATGCCTCCTTCTGGCTCCAACGAACTCGTATAACCAGCTTTTCTGTATTCTACTCAGCGCCAGGAATGGACGTGTTATCTATTACGATACTTGGATTGTGACCACACCCGTAGTCAATATAACCAGGGACCGCGGTTTCGCAAAAGTCCAAAAATCCATTTTAACTCTTAAACAAATAAACCTGTCTTTTATTATACTCATAATAAATTCATAAATATTATGCACTCAAATAAAGTACCAGAGGATATTGGTCTGACTGAAACTTTAGTAATGTCATCCTATAAAACAGGCGTAATGTTTCATTTTATTTGAACATTAATCATTATGTACATGTACGGTCTAAACAGGTGAAATTTTTTATCTTACATATAAGACAAAATTTCGGGCTACAGTTCTGTTGTTCAACAGGCCTCAGAGTTGACCTAACTTGCCGTACATTCAAAGTGACCAGGAACGACTAATTTGTAATTATGTTGACAAAAGTGTTTACTTTCAGAGAATACAATGTTGCGTTCAGGTGTCTCAAATGCATATACCGCAGGTAGACAGTGCTTAAGGGCTCTTACTTCTTAGCCAAGTATCACAAAGCTGGCTTTGCATAGTCACATAGGTATCTACAGCAATTTTAGCAGTCTAAGCTAAACCCAGGAACTTAAGACTTTTATTGTGGAACTGACCCCAAACTGATCTACGACTTAATCTGAAGGAAATAATGTTGAGTATTCAAACTGAGAGTTATGTGATACTGTTTGCTTTTCATCTTAGATAGGAGTTAAATAAATTGTTGAAAAAGTTCTAGCTGCTCTCGCGTACTGAATCGTAGGCAGCTAGCCTACAGGGTACTCTTGTTCAACAAACTTTTTCGAAAAATCAGACACCATCACAATTTAATGAAATATCTCCATTCAGCGTATAATACTGATGCCTTTCCCCTAACTTAAAATTCCATTTATCAGTCTTTTGGCACCGAAACCCGACCAGATGTTGGGAGGTTCTTCTCCATTCTCGTTGAGAACAAATTTTAATGCCAGTCAAAGCTTGAAATCTCCCGACAGACGCATCAAAAGTCACATGATTTCATGAGTGTGCTGTCATGTCCGGAAATGTCTATATGTTATACATTTCCAGAATCACAATTCTCATTATTCATGAAGTGGTTAAAAGGGGGAAAAAACTCGTAAACATGATGGACCTACTGTGCTGATCATTTACCAGTACGAATATTTCCACTATTCTGATTCACGTGTTCTGTTTCTGTCTACATCGATGAGTGCAAACATCATGCCAGTGAACACACACACCAAAGCCGAACAAACATATGACAAACAAATACGAAGACTGGTTTACAACCTGATGAAGTTTATGCTATAAACTTACCCTAGGTCCCACCGGTCCCGGGTCTCCCGGAGTACCAGGTTCGCCAGAAGTTCCCTGTAAAATAATAGCGGAAGTGAAGAAGCGTATGGTGATAACGAAACATATACCCAGGTACTTGTAGATAATAAAATGTATAGTAAACGTTTCTCTCTCTCTCTCTCTCTCTCTCTCTGTGTGTGTGTGTGTGTGTGTGTGTGTGTGTGTGTGTGTGTTGTTTGAGAGATAAAAAAATCTCTCTCTCTCTTTCTGTGTGTGCGTGTAAGTGTGTGTGTGTGTGTGTTTGAGAGAGAGAGAGAGAGAGAGAGAGAGAGAGAGAGATGTGTTTTTTTCGTAGCTTACTACGAAAAGGGTAAAGTAGATAAAGCGCCTTTTATAATAACCTCTATACAACTTAATCAATTTGCCATGATAACAAATTTCGGAAGCTGCAATTTTCTTATCATTACTTGCAACATTTCCTTAAACATTTCCTTTGAGCAGATGACACATTTTTTCGACTTCTAAATGTTACCACCATTTGCTATCTAAACTGAATCTGAAAATGATTTATTTCAGATGATGATAAGAGTGTAACATGCTGTCTTTTCTTTCGTTACTGGTACTGCTAGAACAAAGGAAAAATAATGGGATATCATTACATGTTAAAGATCCAAGTCATTCCATGGGCTAGAATTAAAGGAAGATCTTCAAAAGATTTACCAACATCCATTTGCATTTCTTATCTGGGCACAAGAAACCAAAATTATTTCAACGGGTAAACCAACATATACACGTACAACAATGAGCGAATCAAGACAGGACTGTTCCTAACCGCCATTCATCATATTGGAATGTCATAGGCGCAGGAAGTCGGCCATTACTGTCTCAGCGTGTGCGCCACCTCACGCTAATCTACCAGGAGGTCTTCGTCACGTCTGTGGTAACCGTGTCAAGAAGGTCACGTGTGTATACATGTGTCACCTCTCCAGGTGACAGCTGACAACCGTGTTAACCTTTGCTGGTAATCTGAGCAATATTTCGGTCATCGGTTCTCAATGGAGGGATTTTATGGCATGATATGTGTTGCAATAGTCAATGAATATGTATTTCATTCAGTTTAAAGTTTTGTTATTCAATGTTTCAAATTTTATGCAATATTCTCTTTTTCTTTCAATGTTGTTTCATTTTTTTTATGCAATATTTTTTTTCATTCAATATTTATTGAATATTGCAACACATATCATGCCGTAGCATTTGGCTACAATATTGGCAATCATGCCCATTTACTTTTATTCAATATTTACTTCTCCTTTTGGAAATAATTTTTGAATATTTCAGGAAACCTTTCAGTGCAGTTTAACACTGCACTTATGCAAGCATTTGCGCTATGAGCTTGTTTGAAGAATGCTATTGGAATAAACCAATAAAGCAAGGGAAAACCATCAGTTTAAACAAGGGAAATTAAAACTAATAATGAGGTTCCAAACTTAACAAAATAATATCCAACAGACCTGTCTATAACATCGATTACAATGGACCAGTAAATCAGCAGTATGATTGTGTTTTACGTCACTTCCACGTAAAAACAGCCCAAAACATTATAGAGGCGGGTATTATTGTAAATTCCAACGCCCAAAATACTTACTGTTACACAATCGTAGACAGACAATGGTCTGTGATTAACCATATAAAACAAAGCGCTACTCTCAGACTTGATTTTAACTTTTACATTGTAATAAAAGAATGGCTCGGGGAGGATCAAATACGGGAAAAAATGTATGATTTTTTTCTAACCTTTCTAACTTTTTTTTGGTTAATTTGAAATGTGATGGTATTTGTTACAAGCTCCACTATCAATAGGGCAAACTGGGTGAAACCAAGGATCGGTGTCACAAAAAGAACCTATGGTTTCCTTCATTGATCTTAATAAAAAGAGCAAAAAAAAAAAATTAGTCGAATATCAACCAGCTTCAAAATTACCCCGTGGTAGTGCCGTAAAATAAAATTACAATACATTGGTCCTAAGCATTTCCAGTTTCCATTACAAACCATGCACAATATCTAATTTTAGAGGATCACTACTGGTTTAAGGAGTTTGATGAAACACGTCAAAGTAGACGTCAAAAGTGAATGTAGACAAGAAAGTATATTCCTAATCTTTAGATCAACCTTTTGTCTTGCAGTCCTCTGTGAAACAGCCCCAGGTCAATAAACCAGCCTTAACCCCCAGCAAACAGAAAGTTTTATAACGTTAATTTTTTGGTTATATGAACGCTATAATAACGTTATAAAGCTAATACATACATCTTTCCCAGGACAACCATCCAATCCTCGTTCCCCTGGTGGTCCTTGAATTCCTCTTGCGCCCTAATAAATCATAAATAGTCAGATAAATAAATAAATGAAGTCCAACAACGAAAATTAGGAGTGTATTAAAAACGGGTACGAAATCAAATAATCTTAGGAAAGAAGTTTCGTTACTACATAAAAACACGGCATAGAAATAACATAACAGTCACGCAGGCCAAAAGTGAAGTGTCTACTAAAAATACTCTGGTATATTACTAAAACAGTATATTACAAAAACTTAACTGTAAATATTTTAGATCTGACATACTACACACGCATGACTTATAAACATTGGCTTGCATATCGACCTCAACCAGGTAATGTTTAATTTAAGTATGTCCTTGACTGATATTCTCATCTCATTTTGTTTACACCAATGCTGCCAACATCGCTCAAAAACAACGTAACATCAAAAATGGTCAAATATACATTATTGGAATGTCTAGCTGTATATTTCTTACCGGGGTTCCATCTCTGCCATTGAATCCTGGTAGTCCTCGTGGCCCCTGGAAGCATATTAAAATGTAACGTTTCTATATACATTGTATATGCGCGCACGCACGCATTCACGCACGCACGCACACTAATTTCACTATTAACAGGATTTTTCGATTTAAAACATCATCTTCATTCATTGAGATGCTTTGAAATAGAATTTCTTTTATATCCAATTGAAAAGTCGTGTGTTTCAGTTTAGAAAACTAAGCCCCTCTCATAACTACAGTCAACCATATCAAATGATGGGATAGTTCTTTAAATAGTTCATTAAATCTCTTTTTGAAAACAGACAATTACGCGTTCATGCATCCCATATACATGTGCATGTATACCATTTAACACGTAGGCCTTCTGCGTTAGGCAGATGTTGGGTGGATTCGGTTCAATTAGGCAACTGACGTCACCAGCATTTTGTCTTAATGCAATGACAGCTTACAATGTTATAAATGTTTTTGGGAAATTTCAGTTTGGATTGGACAAGAAATGGTTTTTTTAACCAAAAAGACAGTAAATTTCAAAATGTTAAGTGCTTTGTGACTGCAGTGGCAATTCAACTTTAATTTTAGGTTTTTTTAAAACAAGATTAAAAAAACACAGTATATATATATATATAACAAATACACCGATTGGACATTACACACTGTAAATGCACTATAATTCCAAATATTGTCAAACTTAACTGCAAAAAAAAAAGAAAAAAAAAAGGTTCAGTTACTTCCACAGTTGTAGAATGTGCTCAAAATCAAAGTACCGCGCAACTAGTTTCCACATTTTAAAGATAAAATCTCCTTGTCAGAAATACGCTTCCTGATTTTACAATGTAACTGCTCGACGTTTGGCTCTCTGTGACCAGAATTTAAGGTCATAGAAAAAAAAATAGGCGTGTGGCGAAAACACGCTGTGCATTGAATCACGTCTCGACAAGCTCGCCACATGCTATGGTCACTTTTATAAATAAATTTATTATTTTCCCTTATTGGCTGTGATGGGACTGTGACGGCACGTGCTGAGCCCAAGGTCAAGGTCGTCACTGCTCTTACAGCTATATGAATGTCACAAGGTAGTCGTTTAGTAGGATCCAAAGGTTAAGTACTTTGTGACTGCGTCGTAATTCAACTTTAATTTTCTTAATAAAAATTATAATTTTGACATATGTAAAATGAATTGTAGGTCAAGAATCAAACTTTTAACCCTCGAGAAATTGATTTTGATTATGGCTTGGACCTAAATCTCTAGTTAGGTCCAAGATTATGGTAAATGCCAACTAAATTGCGAGTCTTGCAGCTCGAAATGACCAACTACTCGAAATGATTTCATCTATAGATATGCAAAAAGAGCTACTTTGAAATAGCTATACGTTGATTGCTACTTATGACTAATACCAATGGAAAACTCACAGTGTGTTGTTTAATGATTTATGGACATATAAATTTTAACCATCAAGATGACCTATTTTCAAAATTTTCATGTCCTCGACATTCTCTTTAAGCGCAATGCGTACGCTTAAATATTCTAAAGCCACCATTAAGCGATGCAAATATGCAAAGTTATCTTAAGTACAGCCACAACTTTAGGCATCAGATATCAAGGCAATGGCGTACGTTTTCACGGTTTTCTAGCATTTAGATTAAGTAGTTTAGCTGCCAAAAATCCTGCTGTGAAAAGCAATTTTCCATACCGTAGGGATCCTTCACATTTTTTGTGAAACTGTCGCCAAATACTTTCAGTCTAACAGAGGTCACCAAAGGCAATTGCAAGGGAAATAATAGTAAATGTGTGACTTATTGAATGATATGGACACTTTATACTAACCACTTTCCCTATTCCTGTTTCAGCCAGTTTCACCAACACGACTACCTTCAATGTACAAATAAACAGTACTTCCTTGTAAAAAGATACTCACCCTGTCTCCCTTAGGACCCACTGCTCCCGGTACACCAATCTCCCCCTTCGCACCCATCATACCCGGGGGCCCAATTGGCCCCGCTGGCCCGGGTAAACCCTGTGGACCTTCGGGGCCAACCTCGCCCTAAAATAAAAATATGATTTGAATTTTTTTATCCACATTTTAGAAGACGTTTTTGCGACTTCTGAAACTAATTAGGTAATTCAACTGTGGCACACTAAAGAACAAAGTCAAGAGAGCTAAGAGTGAATGCCCCTAAATATATCGTTTTTGTTTGTGTCTGGAGGCCTGTGATACAAGCTGCTCTGTGTTAAATGCTCACGGCTGTAAATTGATGTAAAAGGATTCTTTGTCAAAATGCAAAGTGTTTCTCTTTTTCTCTTAATTTAAGCCATTTCGTTTATCCCCAAACGTGTCAAGCTTTCAATCTTAATTCGTTAGTAGCGTGGCTACTCATGAAGAAAGGTTAAAACGTTTTGTAAACATCCTGATAAACGTCATATATATGTGGAGAATACTACTTAATTCAAAATATCTATAAAACTTGTGAGCAATTTCCTTGACAATACATTTGGGCAGTCGCTCTCTCTACTCTTTGTTCCTTGGGCTGTGACATCACAGAAGCAAGTACTTAGATTTGATATATAACCCTGTCCACGCCCCGTGTCAACCTAACTCTTTAAAATGCTGGGCTGAAATTGTTTCAATAAAAGAGACGTATTGCAAGACGAATTTGAAATGACGTTAATCAACCTAGGATTATATGTCACGAAATATTTGCCAAATTTTCACCAATTGCTGAAATTTAAGAACACTCACATTAATTATAGAAATAATTTATAGGATATTTGTTACTCTCCCAAATATACATGCACTACGTTTGTTCTAAGTACTCGAATTAAGACGGTAAAAGCAGTCGTCCAGAAAGACTGTATAAGTTAATTTAAAAGATTCAAACTTGGGATATGAAAGTGACTACACTTTATGGCAATATTTTTTAACCGGTTCACTAAAAAGTAAAAAGAAATTACCAAAACATGGTCCTAATTTGGTTAATGAAACATTATGCTTGTTCTGTACAAGGATTGGCTATGTTTTATACCAACTGTTACTTTAATACTTTTTGCACTACTGCGTATTTATGCCGAGTAGATTAAAAGGTGTCTAAATCCCTCTCGCGAAACTGTCAACGTATACCTGCCCTTTACTTTCCATGTGCATACGCTTACCGTTAGACCACGTGGTCCGGGTGACCCAGGCTCTCCGCCAGCCCCCTGCAAGGTAAAGATAACGGTTGTACATGTATCATATATACATAATATTATAAAATGACTGTTCTGCTCTCTTTACACATTAGCCGAAAAACTATTACAATAATTGCTTTAAGTGCGCAGGTGTTAGACAATCGAAATTGTATAGATTTAAATCTAAATGTTGAGGAAAATAACATAGTAAAGTGCATAGTGAGTTAGCGGTTGTTAAATCTACCGCCAGTTACTATTTCTTTATACTGTAATGTTCAAATGGTAATTGACTTTGCCATTAATAGATAAACAGCATGGATTTTGGGTGTTGAAATCTGCTAACATAATTTGAAATGTGAAATAAGACTTAAATTCTTGATAAAACTTGGAATTGATCGTTCTGCTAAAAGGGCAAAATACAAACCACAGTAGAAGGTAAGGTAACTCAATGTTATAACAACTGATACCCAAATCGATACATATACTAGATAGATAAAAAGATATAGAAATAGTAGTGACAAACAGGGATATAGATGTCATTCAACAAAATTTTTACGGATTGGAAACGAAATTTCTTTAATGGATAAATTCTTATTTATACACAAGATTGTTTTTTATCCGAATTTTGCTCGTAGAACCTGGAATAGACGTGATGTCATATTGTACAGCTGTGTGCAAGATGGTCCACTGAGCATTGGGGCAAAACCCATGGTAATGCATGGATAAAGGAAAATGAATGAAAATAATATTGCGAACTTCAAAAGCACACATACATGTTACTGATGGTTTTTACGTTTTGTAATGATAGTTTATTGAAAAAATCATTTTAGAAGAAGAATACAGTATTACTATGTGTTCTTAATCGCAGAGCACTAACAGGTTCTCCGCAAGTAGCATGCATCCAACTTGGAGTGCCGTGAATGACGTCACTTCATTACGTAACTAATTCGACAAAATGCTGTTACTTTTTGGCTTTGCGATAAGAAGTATTTTCAACTGCCAAACAAGATTCTGATGATCCTTGGGTTAGGATTAGGTGATAACTGGATTAACACCCTTGGGGTGTTTCTAATTTTGTTTCGAGAGAAAATAACATCGTTAGCATGAAAAAGTAAAAAAAAAAGACAACCCATTACTTATATAATTTGATATACTAAAGTGTATTTTTACAGTTATCGTGATACTTTCACCTGTTAATTGCAATAGTTTTTACCCCATGTAACCTTTTTCGCCCTTTCTTCTCATATCTTAGTATATCAAAGTTTTAGAGTCGCCCCCCGCAGAGGAATGTAGTGATAACGTTATCACAACTGTTTCGGTTTGTTTCCAGAGGTGGTAAGCCAATTTTGTGGTACGTTTTCTCCACCCCACCACGTGGACTGAATTTCGACAAGATGTAAATGGAAAACAAAAAAAAAAAGAAGAATCACCGTCGAGCTAAAACCCTGCTATAAATCTCTGTCGGGTTTATACTAAGCTACTGCTAACACTTATCGTAATCTTTAAGGTCTTTCCAGCAAATTTAGACCTCGATTTCTGTGTTCTTGTCCATTTTGGGGTGGTTACATGCAAAACAACAAAATAAACAACAATTTACGTGCCCTGCTTTTAAATAGGCCACCTGTTACACAGTACAATATAAGCCTATATGTGAATAAACATCAGTTTTTTCCTTCTATATATATATGGATCATGTCAAAGTTAGTGATCAACAAGAGAACTGCCACAAACTTACTCTTTCACCTTTTGACCCCTCGGGGCCAACCAATCCGATCTGTCCCTGCTCTCCCTTGGGCCCCTGTGGACCATCCGCCCCCACATACCCAGGCGGTCCCCTTAGGCCCTGCTCTCCTTTTGGCCCGGGTAAACCCTGAAATCAGTCAAAAGAGCAAAATGTGATTATTCAAGGTAAAAAATACAAAGATCTAATATGGTTAAACCCCAGATGTAGTAAAATAAGCAGAAATATAACTATTCAATAAAGTATGATGGTTCTGGCTTAAAAATTTCAACATTAGACAGCATTACATACTGCATATGCCGGTAGTAGTGTATACTACTTAAGATGAAAGGCTTAGAAATATCTACTCCTTGGCCATGTGATAGGTCAAAATATGTTTTTGAGTGCATTTCACTTTCGTCGTACCCAAAAGAAATGGTTTTTGTGAATACTTGAAGGTTGTTGGACTGGAGCTAATTCTCCCAGGTTCAAGGACCAGAGAGGATTTAAAGACAGGGAAGAAAAAACTGCATCATAAACAATATAAAGCTTGCAGTAGGGCCTAATTGCAGGAGGCTATAAAAGCTGCAATCGCAGTGTAGTGATAAACAACGACGCTACATGTACGGACAAGGTGCGATTTTGAAACTGCGGTTGACCTCGCTTGTTCCGAAAACTGTAAACAAATGAGTGCATGTAAGTGGCAAATTCTCAACATCAAACAAATTAAAACTGCGCCTATGTGACCCTGTAGGTTGTACCGCATTCTTTCATAAATTTTCTCTCAAGTTAAATCATTTTGACACTTATATTGACATATGTGGCGTTCCTAACACGCTTATTTCTCAGTCAACTCTCCGGTCGGACCTAGAGAAGGACACATGGCAACCTAAAACCGCATAATAGCGAGCCCACAAAAGCTGATGGCTCGATAACAGATAATAGACCTACGTCTTCGATTATCGAAAACCCGATGTCGAAAAATGGAAACAGGAGATACAGCAATCGACTGGACTGTATAACAATGGCGCTACGAGGGATACATGCTGTTTGATCTCCTCACACCCACGATTGACACAGGCCTAATATACTCCAGTGTTTGACATACAACATTTTATGGCAAGCAAATAAATGGTGAACGTCTGGTATCATTGAAGATAAACCAGTTCGTGTCATACTAAATCACATATTCGCAATAAACAAGAGGAAACCGTTTTCGTCTCAATCGTGTTCAAGAGAAATGACAGTTGCTTCTACTTAAAACGCATTTGAAACCCATTTCCTTTCTTCACAGACGATGTAATTGCTGATAGAATGGGTCTGACAGGCCGTTGCGTTACTTTTTTCTTGGTTTTGAAGTGAATTTCTCGGCCGGAAAATTATATCACCACTGAATGTGGTGACAGCGTTTCTTTTTATTATTGAGATCAAGGAGCTTATATCAAGGGAAGAGGATTGGTTTGTAATTGTCTTCATGTGTCTTTGATATAACTAATACGTCCTTTCACACAAGACGAAATCGTTGTTTCTGGTGGTATACAAGTTCAGTGTGAAGAGAGATCGTAGGGTCAAACATGCTTAGATCTCTGCATTGTGGCAATCACCTTTTCAAGTAACTCTTTAATTTCAAATCACGTCTTAATAGGTCTTGCACAAATGTTTGACAAAAATTTTTCCGGTTAAAGTGACGAAAGTCTTGCCGATATGAGCACAATTCCGTTATCATAATCCGACTGCGGTGAAACCCAATTAGTTTGTCTTACCACACGCACTGTTTCCGCTTTTGTTTATACGTCACTGGAGAGCTGCGCGTTACGCAACCTTGCTATAGTGTAATGGTAAAAGGAATAAAAAATGCAATAGAACGAATGCTGTATACGGCATGGCCCTTGTAGTAAGGCTAAGCATAGGCAGAGTTTCGATGTTATATTAAGCGCTAAAACTGCCCCAAGTTATAGTCGCCAAATACATTTAAAAGTTATTTTGACGAGTTGTAAAGTTGTTTCTCCTATTAACGTTACATGTGCAATTTATTAGAGTTGGTATTCTAAATGCCTCGCCCAGCAGGTCCTTTTAAACAGTTTAAGTTGCATTAAACTTTCTGTAGAGTATCATAGTATGGCGACATGACAGCATAGACGATTTTTAACGTGTCATATTTCAAATGATTTAGTTTTTCTAAGAAGCAGTAAAACGGCAAAATTACAGAGGTAACCAAGTTAATAGTGTACGTGAGGCCAGAACAACGTGACGCTGATTCACAAGTCCAATCCGAATACTGTTTCTTCCCGCGAGTGACACACAATGCTAGGGGTGTATCCCAGTTTAATTAACACACTAAATCACTAACGCACTGACAGCAGCATACTAGTGAGGAAATGCAATGGGTGGCTGCACATCTTCCATCTTCCTTTTTCACTTTAAGTAATACAGAATTAATCATGGTTCACAACCAAACATTTCCTGCACTGGGGAGGTAGGCGTACGTTGTGTTTCTGCCCACGTGCTTCAACTGCACCTTGGAGAGAAGAACTTTGATGTGCAGTGACAACCATAATTATCGCTACAAAGGAATTGTGACACCATTCGGTTTGTTTTATGGTAGAACTGCGTTGTGATGTTGTAAAAATACCATCTACTACATGTATGACTCCATCTGAGACGTTATGTAAAACATAACAGCGTTATTTGTACCGTTTGTAGTCCCGAGAGACAAAATTATATTGCAACCAGTGTGATCACTACGTGATATGTTGTAGGAAATTCAATAATATCATTTCTTTTACGTTTAGGGCACATTGCCAGCTGACATTGCAGCCGTTTTACAATTTACATGTCGGGGATACACAGATTTCCCTATACATAACTTTTAAGAAAGTGATATCACAAAGGCAAATAAATGGAAGAGAAGCAGATTTTCTTTACCCAAGGAATTCAGGAAAAGAAAAGAAACAATCCCCACGAGGTCGAGAAAGATACATACAGGTCTGAAACGTCTTTATTAGCGTAATTGGTGTCTTGCTGATCGTACCTAGTTGACTACGTTTAGGGGCAGTCGAGGTCACTTCTACTGCATCTGTTGCGTCCATTTACAAATTGTCGAACACAGAGCCAATTACGTCCATTACAGACCCTGTTTTCTGACCAAAAGCATGCCGAATAAAGCCGCAGTTTAAATACACGGATTGTTTAACAAGTGGTTAAGGACTTCAAGGACGTAAATTAAATTATTGGAGCACTGAAAAATTTGTAACCCAATCTCGATGGAGACATTCCTTTTAAAAACATTCAAAATAGTACACCGGGTAAATCATCAATCAAACTTCTAAACTGTGTTTACTATCTGTTTATGTTTCAACTCGTCACCTTAAGAGTACTTGTAGTAATGACAAGTCCAAAGGAAATCTGCAAGTTTCCCTTCGGGTCAGGTAAGGACAGCCCTTGCCCACCTGCACCGAACCTCGGCGTTGACACAGATTTAACATTGGTTAGGTACACTGTGGGTCCACCCTGGATATCAAATCTGTTTTGTGAGCTTCCTGTGGCCTCTGAAACTTAGTCTCAGGCTGAGTGGGTCTTACCTGTGGCATTTATCAAATATCGGCCCACCAGTGATACAGAAAAGTCACAAAAAGCCATAAAGAATAGCAACGACACAAAGCATGTCGTCAGAGGATTTGCAACTGGCATGAGCACTTTGCTTTAATCATTTTGGGGTGCAGAATGAGTGTGGCCACCCTTACGGTACCAAGAAGCAGCATCTAGTGTGGGAAATTGCTTCTGTCTATTTCATTAAATCATATTTAACTCAATCCTAAATGCTCACGCACGACTTTTTCTTGTTTCTTAAATTGGGGTCTGTCCAATTCACATTGGCTACGTGTTTGATTCAAAGTCAACGGCTTTGCAAGTCAGATGAGTAAAAATCGTAGCTGTGACATTAATTTCTAAGCGTGTCAACCAAACAGATTGACAAGGTTAATTGCAATACGTTGGACCTATTACACAATCGTCTAAACGAGATGAAGGTCAATAGAATTGACCTTATAGACTGCGACCAAACTACTGTTGTCATATTTTTCAATTTTATGCTTCATTACACTCTGTCACTCCAATCTTATTTAAATCAGACAAACTCATTCCAATAGTACACGGAATGTTCACTTAGATTTCCCAATCCCACCCTGAGGAGATGTTTCAGAAAATCACTGGCACTGTGCTATGTGTATTCTAGTAGTCCAACTATTTCCAATGCAATGAAATGATTTTCAGTCGGATAATTGAAAAGTTAAGTAAGGAAGCAAAACTATCAAATAGACAGACATTAAATGACAATACTGAAAGAAGCTTAAACGAAATGACAAAACTAAAAGAAGCATTTGGCAAGTTGATGCAATATTACATAACGATTAGCAGCATTATCATCACCAATTTTCAATTACCACTATTGTACTGTGGACATTCAGAAAATGTAACAAGCACAGGGCTTCAGACTCACGCCAATTCAAAGACAAAATAAAGAAAAACATATATTACTATATTGTTCAATCAGTTTTCGCACTCGTGTTTTAAAATCATTCTTGTGGGCTTGAGAGATGTTGTTAACGAGGAAAGTGAACGGCGACGGCGACAACAGACACAAGTAATGGCTATATGTCCAAAGACATAATGCCGGTCCATTAAAACAACGGCTAGAAGCCTAGAACAAACCAAAGAGCTGATATACTAGATTTCTGCACATTCGACGGACTAAGTTTAGAAAGCGAATGTGAGATGATTTTTTCTGAATTTGTGTTTTAGGTGCATAATGACACCATTTATTCTCTCAAATAACAGTTTCTTGCCAATTCTAACAGTTTGGTAAAGATTAAAACTCACGTTTCTACCAAATTGTAACATTGACAGATATTTACTTACCATGGCTCCCTTGGATCCAACACAAGAACACTGACCTCGGTTGCATTTCTGAAAGTACAAAAACACACGGTTTCAACTTATAAAGGTCAATAAATAACGAGCAAATGACCGTTTACCTTTGGTCATATATTTACACAAAACACAATCCTTAGATTTTTAACGGATATTTGTCACAGGTTCTGAAGACTTGGCATCTGTTTCTACAATATATGCAAATCAGATCCCTAATTTACCACTACCGTAATGTTCAGTGAAGTACAAAAACGTACAAAAACGTATACATCAGAAGCAGGCATTGTTCCTATGTATTTGTTATTGTTGTCATTAATGCAATCGACCCTCGTTTTTGTTTATTTATTTACTTTTTTCAGTAGAATATGGCCTCTGAAAACCTGACATTCATTCTCCAAGGCAAAAACTCGCATTCTCCAGATATTCGGTACTTAGAGAAGCATTTGCCAGTTCTGTATTAGGATAAAATGCCACATGAGTCTATTGCCTAACGTTATCGGTTTCCGGAGCTTACACGCCTGCCTTGTTTCGGGTGTTCCTTTGACTGGAGCATAATTTCAACTACAAGGCTTCCTCAATCAGCTCGGTTCCATTGCTAGCTTTGACATACAGTTTATCACGCCTCGTTGGATTTGAAATGCTCTTAGCTTTCAACACGCAAGCACGTTCACACATTGTTCTTGGTGTTCGGTTCCAAGCAATCGCAGGGGTCTTACTAATATGATTAAAAGTTATGTCACTTTCCATTGTGAAACTAGACTTACTAGGCCTGTTTACAATGAAGCAGAGGAAATACTATGAAGACGTTTTATGTGAAGACGGGGTGGTCCTGAGGATATTCCTTTTTTTATTACAGATCGGTAATTTTTTTATAAACACTTTTTACGGTTTAACATAAACAAATAAAACACACTCTACAGAACCAATTAGTATATATTGCTCAGACGTTTCTATTGAATTACACTCATCATGCTGTACACTGGGCGTCATTGCGGCACGACCCAATTACGTTAAATGTCGCAATCTGCGCTAAGATTAATAAATCCACCAGACTGGATATAGACAAATGGCTGAGAGCGATGTCTGAAGTAAATCAAGCAACAAGTACAATCGCGACAAAATCTTTTGCCGCAGACTGAAACCTTGTTGACTAACGCAACTAAACGCTTGGTGTTGGTTTCCATCTTGTTAACACGTTCAGGGTAGGGAAAAGTGACTGTTTGATGAAATTCCGAAGGGCTGGTTTGTGGTTTCTTAATTTCAGATAAACTCGATCAAATTTGAACTCACTTCAACTACGGGCATGCCCTAAATTAGAATTCTTGGTTTTCGAACAAAGGGTTTTAAATATGAGAATATCTACCGTGAGCAGTAAGGTAAGATATATGTACGTCGCCCATTTGTGTTCCAGCAAAGAGACTTTCCAAGGAACTATCAAATGACGTACAACAGCGTCTTACTTATCCTGTGTATTATTCAGAGCTTGAGGGGACAGATAACAACGTGCCCCAAACAATAATTGTATGTGTAACATGCCGTAGCGTATATCGCTTGTACCGGAGTACATGTATGGTATGCCAGGCCATTCTTGTGACATGTACAATCAACTATTTTGAAAGCAATAAATTTAACAACGACCTTTTTGCCTGTGTGATCAGGTCAATTAAATTCTATGAAGATCAGATTAACACTTATGGTAAATTCTACTTATGGCAGATATTCATTTTTGGTGTGTCTTTGGAATTATAATCTTTCCCTTAAACTTGTTAAAACTCGAGGAAAAGTATGTCCAAGGTTTTCAACCGTCAATTGTCATTGTTTTGGCCCATTTGATATTTTCATAACGGTTTTAGAAAGAACAAAATGGGCCAAGCGTAGGAACCAAAAATCACTTTTCGTATTAGATATTAAGCAAAGTTAGTGTTCGTGTTCAGCTTAAACATTGTAAACACGTAACAGAAATTATTTCGCAAACTATCAATTGGAAAAACGAAGCAAGAAAACACAATGGAAAAGAAATTAGTATGACAACCAGCAAATTATAAGCCATTACCTGCGAGTTCTTGCTGATGTTATTCGAAACAGGCAATAGTTTTTTTTATCAGGATAGAGATGTGAACACACTGTAGGTGATTAGAAAACAACAGGCATTTTAGTCGATACCTGATAACGTGACACTCAATACCAAACACGGCTATTTTTAACAGCAGCTATAAACTACTACAACCTGTCGCTTTAAATGCAATAATAGGAATGTAAACGATTAATGAACTAATAAAAAGGCCCCAGAAAAACCACCAACAGGCGACAAACGTTTCCGTCATTTGCATGGATTGAAATTTGACTGCCATGTTGGTCAAACAATGGCTGGCATGCTGGTTGCTCTCTGTCGTGATAGCTAGCAAGCTTTCCTCCACAACTGAACAAATACCGCAAAGAGCCGAGTCACGAAATGCAGGATGACAGGTAGATCTGTAGGTAATGCCTGCTAAGGTTCTCAAAAATATACAATTACAAACGAGACACGCTTTCATGGAATTTACCTCCCTTCTAGGGCCCTAGTACGTCGCCTCCAGCTGTTGACTTAGCGGAAAGATTAACATCTATTTTGTTTAATGGGGAACTAATTCGCTCCATCAGTATTTAAATGATCTTTTTTTCCTAATGATATCTTTTTCCCTTAATATTTGAGTAAAGTTGACAACTAGTTGCAATGACTGTTAATCGCACTTGGTTTCTTCTTCATATTATTGGATGTACATTCACAAATAGGCGACTAACAAAGAAGTCTTTCAAGAAACCGTATGCAAGTGCTACCTTAAACTTTTTCCGAGGCTGGAGAATTTCAATCATTCACTAAAATGTCGACGCTTAAAACTCTATTAAAATGGCACTTTGTGCTACTTTCGTGCAGATGCCCAATTCTTCATTGTGGGTTTTAGTTATGTTATCCGTTGCTGTACTTGATATAAAATTCCTATTAGAAAACTGAACCAACAGTTAATTTCAAAATCCTCCACAAATGGCTTCACACAAGAAATTGCTAAGGCGGCAAATTCGCAAGTCAGACAAGTTGGTATACAGTCAGCTCTATTTTCTCACATTTTAAGCGCTGTATTTGGGTTTTCACCATATTTAAATGGAGACATTCCAGATGAGGTAAACCTAATCACTCAGGCAGGAAGCACGTATGTGTAACCTGCTCTGAAACTTAGGATAATGGTCACACGCAAACGTTGTCCCATATGTGAAAGTTCTGCCGAGCCTGCTGGAACACTTAGAGACAACAATAGGGGGCACTCATTTTATGATATAAATTCGACTGGCGGAGGGCCCACGGCAATTTTAAGCATATTATCAGCAGGTATTGATATGTGATAAGGCACCGTCCAAAGCATCAAAATCCTATCGTTATGGGCATTGGTGGTTCGGCAAATATTCCTCTCAACCTGATTTAATTTACACGTATGGAATGTGACACAGGAGACGAAATTGTCGTTAAAATGGGAAAAAGGGGGTCAAACATGTGACTGAACCCAAACGCCACAAATTTAATGAGAACATATTGCACTTTCTTCGTTATGCTCGCGACGTAGCCGGGTTAATTCGGGCTCGGTGTGATTTACCTCATGTTGGGTCAAAGCTGCTAACCGCTTGCCAACGCGAAGGAAACATTGAAAGTTGCAAGACTGCGACTGACTGCAATATGTAGCTTCCCTCGTTCTAGAGTGAAGACTTGACATGGCACACGTCGTAAATCCTCCGTATTTAAGCTCAGTTGAAAATAAAAAGTCAGCAGGATTTCGACTGGACCCGCCAAATTGATTTTACAATCTGCGAAAATAGTTTTTACGCTTGTATGCCCAGTCGTCCTGGCCATGTGCCTCGTGAAGTTTTCATGTTTGAAACAAACCACGGAAAACACACCAGTGTTCCGTCAGTGCTTAAAATGTATCTCTATTAGACTGAGACTCCGGGTGGAAATTGTATCTGCAAAGTGTAGGCACGGTTTAAATCATCATCGACACGGTGTGTTGACCGCTGTGATTACTCTGTGCGTGTATTGGCTTTATTTGCTGTTTCGTGGTGCGTGCAAAACAAACCCGACCCTTCCAAATGTAATATGTTTGGAGACTAGTGTATCTTGCAGGAATTGTATAACTTTTGTGTAACTTTATTAATTTAACTAATGAAAAAGAACATGATGAGAAAATAATCTGTTGATTACAAGCAGATTTGATCACGGTGTGATAAGATTTTGGGCAAGCTCGAACAACAGACAAACTGAACGCCATTGTCCATGATTGTCCTCTCTTGTTCTACACTTTGACACCTTGTAATTATTGGGTATGTTGTTATACATGTACCTGGTGCAGGAAAATCAAGAAAAAAAGCTTTGGTTATGAATAGGTCCAAAGTGCACGCTACGTGGCGCTGCTATCTAGTCAAGACATCAATTTGCTGAACAGGAACATCGCTTGTAGTGAACCGTAACTAAATAATCAACTAATCAACTTCCCTTCCCTAATGTGAATTGAAAAGGGAACAAATGCCTAAACTACACTTTAACACCTTGTAATTAATAACTATATGCTGTAGTTAAAGTAACCCCTAACTTGCTTAAAAGACCAAAGCGATGATGTAATGTATCCGGGGTACTCGGTCTAACAAAGTTGCAGAAAAATCGNCAACTTCATAAACCCTATTTGATGCTGGTTGAAATTAAAGATAAAAAGTTGGAACAAGCTCTTGCCAGATGCCTTGTTCTTATTTTCTAAAGCATTCTGAACTTTAGTAAGCCTCATGTGTTGATACATTAATTACTTTACTGAGCACTAAAATGTTTACAAATTACATTTTACAGGCTATCTGCACTATTAGCTTTTACATAATGCTATATGTTTATTCAAAACACATAGATAGTTAACTTTATTAGCTATGAGGACTGAGAAACAGCAGAGGCTGATTAAGTTTTTATTCTGCATTAAAACTAAACTAAAAACATTGAGCTGATTTTACATTTGGTGAACACCAGCCATCTGGTTTTTAACCATGTTTACTTAATGCAATAAAAACAGATTTAAACTTTTTCACAGACTTACACCATAGATTTGCAATCAGCCATTACAAGCCAAATTACATTATATTGTATGTGTCTTTTTTTTTTCCTCCAGAATTATGGTGGTGTTCGTTGGTTACAGCAGCCTGCCACACTGGGAGGTGCTTTCGACCAGGGTCCAAAAGAAGGAATTCGGTTTCCTGGAGACAAGAATTCCAGTAGTGGACAACCAAAGAAGGGCATTCAGACACACCAGGATGGTGAGTGAGGACCCAAGGCATCTGTTTGTCTTGGTTACTTGATTATATTGATCCATGATGTATCTTTTGTATACATTAGACTGTCAGTTTACTTTGCAGATGTGGCTTTTATCATGCCTGCTTTTTTTCCCTGTATTTTGTTTGAATAATAAATTACAGGTGTATTTTATCTTCATTGAACATCATGTAAAAAATTGATGAAGCATACTGCTCTATCCAGTGTGTTGTGCATATTTGAATTGTTAATTAAAATATTTGATGTTGAGTATAAATAATGTAAGTTCATTTAGTAAGCGTTCTGTCATTTATCTATTTATTTATTTATTTATTTATTTCAAAATTACACCTGCAGTGTCGTGACAGATGACTGATATTTATCCTCAAAGAAAACGCATTAAATGTGGATATTCCAGAAATAGTCAAACCATTTTCATCAGATTGCCTGACTGCCTTACACTGGATTTAAAATCTATTGTTGCTATAGAAGCCCCCTTGGAGAGTCCCTAGTTGATCTCTTTGTCTTGCAATGTCATCCTGAAATGAATGGGCTTAGGTTACATTTGTGAAAAAAAGCATCTTTGATGCTACCTCCATCTTATTATTTAATTTGTGACTTTCTATCCAGGCACTGTGTCCAATATCCCTGGTGGTATGGTGACAGACCAGTTTGGTATGGTGGGCCTCCTCACTTTCATCAGAGCAGCAGAGACTGACCCGAACTTAGTAGCACTGGCCCCAGGCATTGATCTAACAACACTGGGACTAAACCTCAACTCTCCCGAGTAAGAAATGGGCCATAGGCAATTGTGGGGAATGGGGCATCATGATGTATTAAGACCAAGTTAAAATATTGATTATGTTCATGCATATACAATAACCAGCAGACAACTGATAATTGACCTCATCATACTGAAGTTGTAAATAGTTGACTTTTTGAATGTAAACAATTAGTGGATTAATGTGGTGCATCTACATTTCAAAATGTAAGAAATTTCAAAAAGTGAGACTTACAACAAAAGTATCTTTTTAATTGTTTAAAACTCGTAACTGTTTGAAACTTCTGTAGCTTCATTTTCACAGTTAATGATAAAAACGAAGCAAGTAAAAAGGAATGGAAGTGATGTTATAGAAGTTTATGGCGCATGTGTGCAGGTCATGTATTTATGTTTCAGAAACCTGTACAGTACCTTCCAGTCCCCCTGGGCTGATGCTCCCTGTAGACCACAAGACATAGGTCAGTGGCGTAATACCTTATTATAGCATAAGCTTACATTAGGGTGCTATAGTGATTTGGTGAAACTTTCACCACATATATATTTCTTCTATTTACATGGCCTTTGAGGCCATAATGGCTTTTGTTTAAATTGTTTGTGAGGGGCTTCAATTGATCCTGAATGCTTTTTTTGTGTCAGTTTGCGCACAGGTTTCAGTGGCTTTTTATCTGTCCTTTAAAGGAATGTTAATTTTTTGCATTACTTTAGTCTAGCTGCTAGAAAGCAAAAGTTTGATGGTAAGAATTTTGGTGAATAAATTTAATATAGTTCTTTGGTTTAAGAATTTGCAATCAACCAAATGCAGCGAAAATTTATGGGGCCATTTGGCCAATTAATTTGACATTAGTGTGGGTATTTTTCCACAGATAATTTTTACTTACCATGAACCATTTTATGTAATGATTTCATACACCATTTCATTCATTTATAAGTAACTGCCTCAAATTCAGTGTTATGCCTATAAATTTGAATTATTCATTGATTACATGAAAAATGGCGTGATTTCAGCATAAATATCAGCAGGCAAAGTTTCTGATACGATAACTCTATGTTATATTTCAGATTTTCACGTACCCTCAGAGTATCTTACAAATATATTTATAAGAGACAAGGTAAGCTTCACTTTTTTTTCAAAAGGGGGTAACAATTCACTCAACTCACAGTTCTTTGTGAATTATCAGTCAGTTGTTGAAAGACTCAGATTTTATTAGATTTATCAACCTTAAAAGTTTTATACAGAGTGAAATGTTTTATGGGATTATGTTCAGTTCTTTGTTCATTTTCCAATGTTTTCCCCTTTCAGCTTGCTCCTATAAAACTTAACCGTTATGGGGAAGACTTGCTATTTTTCCTGTTCTACATGAATGGTGGGGACATGCTTCAGTTGGCAGCAGCAGCAGAGTTGTAAGTATTTTAGGAATTCTGTGATAAATGCTATCAATTTTACACAGCCTTTCAAAACGCATATCGTCCCAATTTTTTTCAATTAAATACTTGTTTCACCAGAAGAGAGCATTATGTCTGAGCATACAACAAAAATGGAAGAAAAATGTAAATAGGTTCTAAGTTGCAGACGATACATGACAGACATGGCAACCTTTTTTTCTATTTGTTATTTGTACTGAGAAATAGTATATCTCATTACAGACTATTGGTTTCATTTAAGTTTGTGTCTGCTGCATAAAATATGGCGTACACGTCTTACCAATTTCAGATACAACCGAGACTGGAGGTATCACAAAGAAGAAAGGGTCTGGATAACCAGGGCCCCAGGGATGGAACCTGCTATCAAGACTAATACTTACGAACGAGGAACATACTATTTTTTTGATGCACAGAACTGGCGAAAAGTGGCAAAAGAATTCCACTTAGAATATGACAAACTAGAAGAGAGACCTCATCTGCCACCTACTCTCCATCATAATCCTAGTCCTGCTGCCATGGTGGCACACTAGCAGAGGCTAGACATTAACTAAGTGAACAGATGGCAATATATGATGGCAACAGAACCTGAAAATGTGTTCAGTGTTTTTCAGTTACATGTTTCTGTGACATAGATCAAATGTGCCATGCTTCAGCAACAGTGCTTGGCACGGAGCAGAACAGGAAGGGAGATTTGCTGTTGGTTTTCAAAGTTATTGTGGACCATGGGTGCATATGGAGGGAGACATTTTTTGTCAGTGAACTAGTTTTGAAGATCCCATTAAACAGTACATTGAATACAAGTGCATTACTGGTATAAATCCCTCGACATGACATAATGACTGTTGTTTTTGGTATGCCAGTGTTGCAATGAACGCTCTCTGACGCAACTGAATAATCATATGAATGTAATCTAAACAGACTGTGAGTTTGATTTTGAAGCTAGCTGGACAATGTTTATGGTAATTAATTCTAGACAGCCACTTTTTGTAAACACCTTATCAATAAAGGTTTTAAGACAACTTTTTATGGACATAAAGTCATCACTTGTTCACTATGTCGTAAGAGTGCTCTTTCTTTAACACCTTAAAAAGAAAATCTTGTTGCTTATTATTCTCATAAATACCAGAATGATTTTGGGACCATGAAGAAGCTTGAAAACCATTCTTTCTTAGAAATTATGTATTTTTTATGAATTTTTATGTACATATAGCCATCACCTGCGTCTGTCGTCGCCGTGCACTTTTACCAATAACACAATAAGTGGAAAACCGTTTTTTTTTTTTGCTTGAAACTTACAGAACTGATGAATATTCATAATACGCAGGTCAAGTTCGAAAATTAGCATGATCGGGCCATTTTTAGGGAATTAATGCTGTTTTTCACTTTTTTCAGCATTTATGTAGCACCGATAACACGATAAGTGGAAAACCGTTTTACCTTTTGGCTTGTTTTGTTTTTTGTTCATTGTCATTTTCAAGGTGTGTCTTTAAACTCCCATAAGCCTGAATCCCTGAGCTAGTTACATTTTCTGATGTGCTCTTATAGTAGTGCATTATTAAAAATGCAGCAGAATTGACAAAAACTTTGGTGCACTGTCATCATAAATAGCTTGAAATAACAAGGCAGCAAAGCTGTCAAATGTACAGACAAAAAACAGAAATTAAAGATGCAAAATGGGTCATTTTGTCAATTTTGATGCAATAATAAATAATGCTTATAATAGCACTGTCAGTCAACACTGAATTTTAATCATGCACAACAGGTAAAATGGTCAATAACATGAGCGGACCCAGAGATATTTTCTGACAGTATTCCAAAGTATATATTTTGATCCATCCTCCATTTTGATGGTCTTCCAACAGAAGAAAAAATAGATACCAGGCAATATAAACTTAATAACCTGACTGTCTTCCTGAAGACCTAGAAGATGGTCTCAATCTACCCTTTCAATAAGATTACAGTTTCAGGACCATGAGTTTAAATTCACATGATGAAAGTCTCAATATTTGAAAAATGATGACAGTGCATAAAATAATATTACATAAGTAACATAATGTTTAAAGGCATAAAAAACAATACAACTGCTTATGTGGAAATACAGAAATGTCAGAGCCTCAGGCGGATGAGAGTTAAAAGTCACAAATGCAAGTGTTTGAGAAAAAATTATAAAGGAAAACATAACAAAACTAGAAAAGCGCTCTGAGAGTGCAGACCTCTGCCAAGGTAGCAATTGTTGATTATTATTGATTATTGTCCTCTTTGGCCCACTTCTGACACTTCCTGAAAATTTCAGCAAAATCGGTCCATAACTTTTTGAGTTATGTTGATGACAAACAGGGGTGAAAATATAACCTCCTTGGCAGAGGTAAATATAATTCCAATGAAGCTGCTATTCAAACTTTTAATCTTTGAGTTTGA